GGGACTACGTATGTGTGGTGAGGGCGGGGGCCGCGGGCACCGCTGAGGCCACCGCCCGGCTCCGGGTGTTTGGTGAGTGTCCGCCCCCGGAGGGGGGGCCTTCAGGAGGGTGGGCGGGGAGGGGAGGGCACAGGGGAGGGACTCCTGACTCCCCCCCCCCCCCGTTTTCCCTGTAGCAAAGCCAGAGACCACCGAGGTCTTCCCCAACAAAGGGACGCTGTCTGTGATGGAGGAGTCGGCCCAGGAGGTACCTTGGGGACTGGATTTGGTTCCAGGGCGCTGGGGGCAGAGGGGCAGGGGGCCCCAGGCTCAAGGCCAGGCCGATCCCACCCCCCCTTCAGATTGCTACCTGCAGCAGCCAGAACGGGAACCCGGTCCCCCAGATCAGCTGGTACCGGGACGGGCAGCGCCTGGATGTGCCCACGGAGGTGAATTCAGGTGAGCGGCGCAGGCGCCGAGCGGGCGGGGTGGGGGGGCTGGGGGAGGGGGGTGGGGCCGGCTCACTGCCCCCTTTGTAAGGGCAGAAAAGCAGGACAAAGAGGAGACACAGACAGGGGCTCAGGGCCAGAGCGGGTCTGTGCAGACAAATCGGAGAGGCGCTCACTGCGGGGCGGGGACCGCGCAGGGGCAGGGCTGGGAGCCGAGGGTGGCCAGAGGGTGAGCTCTCAGGACAGGGGTGCGGCTCTGGGAGGCTTCGGGCTCTGCGGGGGTTGGGATCTGTTCCCCGCGGCGGCCTGGGTCCTGGCTGCACGCCCCGCCTGTCCCCCAGAGGCCTACATGACCAGCCGCAGGGTGCGGGAGGCCTCGGGCCTGCTCTCCCTCAGCAGCACGCTCTACCTGCGGCTCCGCAAGGCCGACCGCGACGCCCGCTTCCACTGCGCCGCCCACTACAGCCTGCCCTCCGGCCTGCACGGCCGCCTGGACAGCCCCGAGTTCCGCCTCACCCTGCACTGTGAGTCCACCCCTCCCGCTGGCCTCTGACCTCTGACCCCGAGTGGGAGCCCCCACCCTGCCTTGTGGGCCCCACTTGGCACCCTGCACCCCTTGGAGCGGGTGCCCCGCCCTCTCCCACTGCGTTGGGCTCCCCGCAACTCACACTGACCTCTGACCCTTGACCTGTACAAGCTCCGACTCTGGGGCCTGATCTCAGATGGAGTGTGAACCTGGGCTTTGGAGCATATGACCTCTCACCTTTGACCCCTCTCGTCCCCCCCCCCGCCGCCTTTCTCCTAGACCCCACGGAGAACGTGCAGTTCTGGGTGGGCAGCCCGGCCACCGCGGAGGGCTGGGTGCCGGAAGGTGACTCCGTGCAGCTGTTGTGCCGGGGGGACGGCAGCCCCAGCCCTGAGTACACGTTCTTCCGTCTTCAGGTGACTCCGCCCCCGCCAACCCCGGGGTTCCTTGGGGGGCCCTCAGCGCCTAGCCTCTGTGACCTCTGTGACCCTGCGCCGGCCCCGGCCCCGGTGTGACACTGATCTGGTGACCCCTTGGCCACCAGACGCTCGCACCCGGGGCCAGGGTGGCTCCTAAGCCTGGTTCCTCATCTCCGGCCCCCCAGGGCGAGCAGGAGGAAGTGCTGGATACGAATCTCGAGGGGAACTTGACCCTGGGGGGCGTGCACCGGAGCCAGAGCGGCCGCTACGGCTGCAGAGTGGAGGACTACGACGCCGCCGAGGACGCGCAGCTGTCCCGGACCCTGGAGCTGCACGTGGCCTGTGAGAGCCTCGGCGCGGGGCGCGGGGCGTGGGGTGTGGGTGCGGGCACAGGCGCAGGATGGGCCCTCCCTGCCACAGCCCTGCACGGCCCTTCCTCTGCATGCCCAGTGTCTGCTTTGGTCCTCTCCGCCTGGGAACCTACCCTTGCCCCTGCCCCCTCCAATCTACCCAGCCCAAAGCAGCTCTTCCCAACGCACACACCTGACACCCCCCGCCACGCGCTTAGAACCTGCTGTAGCTCCCCAGTACCCTCAGAAGAAAGGCAGGTGCCTGACCACAGCTCTCAAGGCCTCCCTGGACAGCTGAACCCTCCACTCGCCCTTCTTCCCCGTCCAGGCTCCTCCCCCTCACCCCGGGCTCCCCTCCTCTCCGCCATCTTCACATTGTCACTCCCATCCTCTCTCCCTCTTTGTTTTTTAAGATTTATTATTTGAAAAGCAGTTAGAGAGAGACAGAGAGAGAGAGAGAGAGAGAGAGGTCTTCCATCCACCGGTTCACTTCCCAAATGGCCACGATGGCCAGGGCTGAGCCAGGCCGGAGCCAGGAGCTTCCTCCAGGTCTCCCATGTGGGTGCAGGGGCCCAAGCACTTGGGCCATCTGCTGCGTTCCCAGGTGCAGGAGCAGAGAGCTGGATCGGAAGTGGAGCAGCTGTCGTGCGGGATGCCGGCACAGCAGGTGCTGGCTTAACTCCTGCCCCCCGGGCTGCCCCCTCTCTGCCTGCTCCTGACCAGATTCTAGGATCCCAGGCTTCCAGGCTGTTCGCCCCCCAGCCCTGGGCTCAGGCTCTGCCCCCGCAGGGCACTGCTTATCTTGGGAAGGCTCTGTGCCGGATCCTGGGGACCCCTCTGTGAGCAGGCTGGTCCCCTCCCCCACGAGGAGGGGCACAGAGAACCAAGGCCAAGGGCAGCAGATGCCCTCAGTGCAGCCGCGGAGCCCGGGCAGCGCCCGCCGATAACACGGAGGCCTTGGCCTGGGGGAGGTGCTGGAGTCAGCCTCCCTGGGAAGCAGAAGCTGGGAGGCCCCCGGGGCCGGGCGTGGAGGAAGGAGCTGGGGCAGCGAGAGGCGGTGCGGCCACAGCTGGCCCCACAGCCACGTGGTCGTCCACGATCAGGGCGAGCAGACTGGGCCTTCACATTCCCAGGCCAGGCGGTCACCGGGTGCCGGCTGCCCAGGGAAGGGGCCGTGACCTTGGGCAAAGGGTGCTCGCGGCTTCTTCCCCGAGAGGCTGTCAGCTGCAGGCTGACAGCTGCCATCCTTGGCAGCTGGGAAACCAGTCCCTCAGAGCTGCCGTGGGGGCCCGTTTCCTGGTAGGGGGTCGGGGAGGCCCCGTGAGGAGATGTGAGTAGCGCTCAGGGCAGAGTGGGCCGGTTCAAAGGGCCTGGGGCAGGACCCGACTTTGTATAATGGGAGAAAAGCCCCAGGACGCCTGCATCCTGAGGCCGGGTGCCGGTCAGAGTCCCAGCTGCTCCACTTCGGATCCCGTTTCCTGCTCATCTGCGCCCTGGGAGGAGCAGGGGATGGCTGAAGTGCTTGCGTCCTACAGAGGAGACCCAGAGGGGGATCCGGGCTCCTGGCTTTGGCCTGACTGAGCCTTGGCTGTTGGAGGCATCATCTCAGGAGTGCCCTGGGGGATGGAAGACCTTGCGCTTTTGCTGTCTCTCACGCTCGTTCTCGCCCTGCCTCTCGGAGAGGAGAAAAAGCGAATTTTAAAGAAGAAAGAGAACAGGGCAGTTGGTGCTTAGTGGGCAAATAATGAACCGGGGGGGGGGGGCACAAGGGCTTGGGCTGGGAGTCCCAGGGGCTTGGGCTCCCCTGTGGACTCTGGAGAAGAGGGGGCAGGTGTCTTGAAGCTGGCCTGGCTGGGTGGGGGAAGGGGGAGCCCCCCACTCCCGCTGTTGAGGTTGTCCAGCCCCGTCTGCGCCCCCCGCAGTCCCAGAGAGCCCCTATCGGAGCTGGCGAGGGGCTGCGGGAGCTGACGGCCTGTGCCCACCCCCACAGACCTGGACCCCCTGGAGCTGAGTGCCGGGGAGGAGCTGTCCCTGCTCCAAGGCAGCAGTGCCACCGTGAACTGCTCTGCCCACGGTCTGCCCGCCCCCGCCCTGCGCTGGACCAAGGTGCGGTCGGAGCCCCGTCCCCCGCCCCTCCTCCCTCCCGTCAGCCCGGAGCCCCCCTCACGGCCCTGCCCGGCCCCCTCTCCCCTCCCCAGGACTCGGCACCGCTGGGGGATGGCCCCATGCTCCCGCTCAGCTCTGTCACCTTCGACTCCATGGGCACCTACGTGTGTGAAGCCTCCGCGCCCACCGTGCCCTCCCAGGTGCTCACCCGCACCCGGGCCTTCCAGCTGCTCGTCCAAGGTTCGGGCGGGGCGACTTTGATGGGGGGGGGGGACAGGGTCGGGGTAGGGACGGGTCTACACGGGGTCCTGTCTCTCTCCTTCCCCTCCCTCTCACGGTGGTCCATCTCCCCCCCTGCCACCCACAGGGTCCCCAGAGTTAAGGCCAGAAGAGATTGAGCCCAAGACAGAGGGCGGCTGGAGAGAAGGAGATGAAGTCACGCTGGTCTGTTCCGCCCGCGGCTACCCAGTGCCCAAGCTCAGCTGGAGCCAGCTAGGTGGCAGCGTAAGGGACCGCCCTCCGCCCTGGCTCCGGCCCCAGCACCCCCCCCCCGGGCATCCTGGGCACTGGACTTCCTTCACCTCTGCCCTTACCCCCAGCCCCTGATCCCTCGGGGCCCGGGCCTGACCCGAGCCTCCACAGCCAGCAGAGCCGGCCCCCAGCGGGCAGGGCTGGGTGATCAGCTCCCTGACCCTGAAGGTGACCAGCACCCTGAGCCGCGACGGTGTCTCCTGTGAGGCCGCCAACCCCCACGGGAACGTCCGGCACGTCTTCCACTTCGGCACCGGTGAGCAGGGCGAGGGCCGAGGGCGAGGCGCAGGGCGGGGGCGGGGGCGGGGTCAGGGGCGGGGCCATGCCCGCTGACCCCTCCCCTCTCTGCCTGCTCTTGCAGTGGCCCCCCAGAGCGCGCAGGCCGGAGTGGCTGTCATGGCTGTGGCCGTGAGCGTGGGCCTCCTGCTACTCGTGGTGGCTGCCTTCTACTGCATGCGACGCAAGGGGCGCCCCGGCTGCTGCCGGCGCGGGGAGAAGGGGGCTCCGTGAGTGACCCCGCCCCCTCCCCAGCTCCACCCCGGCCCCTGGCCCCTAGCTCCATTGCCAAGTGAACCCCACCTCAATCCCATAGCCTTCTCCAAGCCCGTCCTCACCCCAGCACCCACTGCGATCCCAACTCCGACCCCTCCTCACCCTCAGACCTGTTGCCTCTCCCGGCCCCAGCCCGGCTCCACCCCCACCATGCCCAGCTCTCCCCTAGCTCCTGCACTCGGGTCTGTCACCCCCGGACTTAGCAGTTACTTCAGCTGCACCCATCCGCACACGCGAGTTCTCACCTAACCTCATCTTCAGCCCCAGTATCCTCGGCTTCAGTCCGGGACCGTCTCAGACCTGCGCCCCAAGCCGCTGCAACCCCATTCCTAACCCCAGTGCCCTCACCATGTCCATGCCTCCTCGCCCACTCCCACGCGTCCCCCAGTCAGTCTCCACGAAGCCCGCCCCACCCTCATCCCCCTGCCCACACCCACACCCGGGCGCAGTCCCTGCACCACCACCCATGAACGCCCCCCTCACACTGCCTCCTGCAGGCCACCTGGGGAGCCGGAGCTGAGCCACTCCGGGCCGGAACAGACCGGCCTGCTCGTGGGAGGTGCCTCTGGAGGAGCCAGGGGCGGCAGCGGGGGCTTCGGAGATGAGGTGGGTGAGGCCCTGGTCGCCTCCTGCGACGGAGGGCCTGCTGGGCAGAGGGACAGCCCGGGGGAGGTGGCATGGGGGAGTGGCGGGCGTGGGCTGAGCTCCTGTGCTCTCTCCCCAGTGCTGAGCCCGAGGAACTAAGAGGCAATCACTGGACCGGAGCTGGGGCCTTGGAGAAGCAGCCGAATGCCCGCCCGCCCGCCCTGCCCGCCCTCTCCGGTCTCCCTGCCCGGCCCCTCCCTTCCTTCCTCTGCCTGCAAGGCAGGGACCGGCAGCCATAAGCGTCCCTGGGCGGGGGGCGGGGGCGGGAGGCTGGGAGGGAGTCTTCCTGCAGGGACTGTGACTCTCCCAGGCCCCAGAATAGCTCCTGGAGCCCAGCCCAGGGCCCGGCCTGGGATGAGGCACTGAGGGTCGCCGGCCGGCCGGGGCTATTTTTACCTCCTGCCTCCCTTGCTGGTCCCCTCACCTGCTGCATAGTCGGACACTGGATCCCCGCTCCCGCCCCTGCCCTCGCCCTACTCCATCATCCATGGACACTGGAGTCTGGAATAAATGCTGTCTCACGTCAACACCGTTGTGCAGGCCAGAGCCGCCTCTAGGGGGCGAGGAGAGGGGCGCAGGTGCTTCCCCTACCCCGCGCAAGACCTTGGAAAAAGCCTGATGCCATGAGAAGAGAGAGGAGACACAGAACTCACAGCGACTCAGCTGGCCGAGGGCGGGAGGGAGATGCGAGGGCGGCCGAGATGCCACCGGTCCCTGAGGACCAGGGCGGGACCAGGGCCTGCTCGGGAGTGGGATGCTGTCCCCTTAAGGAAAAAGTCCCAGAGTCCCCGAGGGAATTGAGCTCTCGAAAGGGCTTTCTTTCAGCTGTGGAGTTGATGGGGTCAGGATGGAGCCGCCTCCTCCAGGCAGGTCAGGGTTCCTGCAGCCCAGGGGTCCCTGGGGAGGAGGGGGCTTGGGTCAGAGAGAAGATGGAGGAAGAGGGTGGGAAGACAGATTCAGAGAGATTGGTCGTTGGCGAGGGCAGCTGAGTGGGTGACGGGCGGGGGCACTCGTGAACGTGGCCCCGGGGCGTCACAGCCTGAGCCTGCCTCCCCCCCCCCCATTATCATCGATGGAGCCAAATCCCACAGCCGCCTCTAGGGGGTGCTGTGAGAGTCGAGGCCGAGAGCCTGGGGCCGGGAGGGGGTTCTCCCCTCAGACGCCCCCGCCATGGCTTCCCCGCGCTGCTGTGGCCTCTAATCTCGGGCAGGGGACTCCCTTCGCCCCCTCGGCCAGCCCACCCACCACAGGAACCACCACAGTGGGATGTGTGTGATGCCTCTGGGCGGGGCAGCTCCTGGGCCAAATCGAATCTGATTGGTAGCAAGGGGCGGAGCTGGGGCGGGGTCACACACTCAGGGCGCGAATGGTCCCATCACTTGAGTTCTGGGGTACGCCACGTAGATGTGTCCTCCCTCTCTCGCCAGGGTGTGCGCGGATGGGGAGCAATGGGCTGCACGCAGGGAGGGCACTCGGGCCGTGCCGGGGCGACTGTACTTCCTCACACGGGGTGGCCGAGCACCTGCTTTTAACCCACGTGCCTCGGGCCCAGGACTCAAGGGCAGCGTGGGCGTCACCAACAGGGAGCAACCCAGGACGTGTGGGTGCCGGAGCATCTCTCTGTGCTCTGCTCATGTCCTCATAAGCAGGTGGTCCTTGAACCCCACATATACAGGGCTGTACTTCCTGGATCCCTAAGTCAGGTACAGGGAGAGCCTCACAAGAGGGGATAAGATAGCAGTTACAGCAAGACTGCAGTGAAAGTCGTTTCAAACTTGCAGTCTGCTCGTCTCGGGAATTTGCTATTTAGTGTTTCCCAGGCCATGACTGGTCTCCAGTGACGGAAACCGTGGATGGTGGGCACCTCCTGTCAGCCAGATCTGGGCTGCTCTGGGGGTCTCTTGCTCTTGCCATGGTGGGGCCGAATGCACACCTGGAGCATCAGAGGGTGGCTGTGAGAGGGTCTTACACAAAGCCAGCGCATGTGCCTATTCGTAGCACCGAAGCTGGAGGGACACAGAGCAGAGCAAAGCAGCGTCCCTCGGCCCAGGGCTGGCCCAGGGGCAGCGAGAGGCCCCGCGAAGGGCACACGTGGGTCAGCATTCATGGGAGTGAACAGATGGCTGGGTGGGGGGGTCTCCCGGGAGGAAGGGTTCTCCACCCAGCACCTGGTCCCCAAGTTAAGGGGAGAGTCCCAGCCACACACAGACCCCGCCCAAGAAGGGCACATATTTGCATAAGGTCCTTCATCTGCATAGCATCCCAGGAAATTTGAATACAGATGGCAGCCTGGACCCACCCAAGTACAACCTCTCCTTCCACCTTGGCCAAGGGCCTGGGTACAAGAGGAAAGGAGGGGAGGGGCTGGGGCTGTGGCCTGGCGGGTAAAGCCGCCGCCTGCAGTGCCAGCATCCCATATGGGTGCTGGTTCAAGTCCCTGCTGCTCCACTGTTAGATCCAGCTCCCTGCTAATGCGCCTGGAAAAGCAGCAGAGGATGGCCCAAGTACCTGGGCCCCTGCCACCCACGTGGGAGACCCAGATGGAGTTCTGGGCTCCTGGCTTTGCTTTGGCCTGGCCCAGCCCTGGCCATTGAGGCCGTCTGAGGAGTGAATCAGCAGATGGAAGCTCGCTCGCTCTCTCTCTCTCTCTCTCCCTCTGTGTGTAAATCTCCCTTTCAAATAAGTATATATAAAAAAAAATAGAGGGAGAGGATTAGATTTGTGAGCTGTAAGACCACGCCCCCTTGAGAGCTCACGCCCCCACCTGTATGCCCACCTGCCAGTCAGGCTACCTAACCACTCCCCTTTGGAGTGGATAAAAGGCCTGGACCACCGTGGGCCCTCCCCTTGTCCTGTGGGTGCGTGGCCTTCGGGCCGCCTGCTCTCTGCTTGGTATGGACCCAGCTTAGCTTCTAGACCTCTCTTTCTCCCCTAAATAAAGCCAGCAATCTCCTGTATATTCCTCTCACTGAATAAAAAGCTTAAAAGTGACCATGTTGCTTGGTCTATTTGAGCCAGCATTCAGAATTCTCTGAATAAGTGGCACAAACCCACAGGGTTATTAATATGGAAAATTATGGGCCGGCGCCACGGCTCACTAGGCTAATCCTCCGCCTTGCGGCGCCGGCACACCGGGTTCTAGTCCCGGTCAGGGCGCCGGATTCTGTCCCGGTTGCCCCTCTTCCAGGCCAGCTCTCTGCTGTGGCCAGGGAGTGCAGTGGAGGATGGCCCAAGTGCTTGGGCCCTGCACCCCATGGGAGACCAGGAAAAGCACCTGGCTCCTGGCTCCTGCTTTCGGATCAGCGCGGTGCACCGGCCACAGCGGCCACTGGAGGGTGAACCAACTGCAAAGGAAGACCTTTCTCTCTGTCTCTCTCTCTCACTGTCCATTCTGCCTGCCAAAAAAAAAATATATATATATATATATGGAAAATTATGAACAAGCAGGACGGTCTCCCCGTGAGATCTGGGGCTGTGGGAAGTAGAGGCTCCCCTTGCTCATCAGCCTTCTACGGCTCTGTCCCGAGCGCGGGGGTCGGGAGAGGCTGATGGCCAGCAGCCGGCCAGGGGCTCGGCGGAGTCCTCGCGGGGTCCACCAGGAAGCCGAGTGCCACCCTGGGACTCCGGGACACTGAGCACTCCCAGGTGTGGGGCCCCCTCGCGCTTCTGTCTGAAACGTGGCAGAGCCCGGCCCTACGCCTGTGCTCCTATGCATCCAGCCTACACCCCTGGGGCTTCCTTCCTGGGCTCACCCTGCCCAAAAAGACCAGCCAGGAGAGAACTGAGTCCACCCACTGGCAGGCCAGGAGGGCTTCCTGGAAGAAAAAGACTCTCTGGGGCTGACCATCCTGCTCAGGGGGCCCAGGGTTTTGCACAGGCACTAGCAAGGCTAGCATGAAATCCCAGAGCTCCTGGCTCTCTGGGGCGCGGTCAGAGCACTTGTGTGATGTCCAGGCCTCCCCCAGCATGGACCCCAAGAGCATCCCAGCTCCAAGCCACTGCTTTGTGCCTCAGCGGGGCTCTCGATGGTGTTCTCTCCATGGCATTCTTGTGAAGAACCACCCTAGATGAATAAGGCACAGCGGGTAAAGCCGCCGCCTGCAGCATTGGCATCCCAGATGGGCGCCGGTTCAAGTCCCGGCTGCTCCACTTCTGATCCCGGTCTCTGCTGACGTGCCTGGGAAAGCAGCGGAGGAGAGACCCAGAAGAAGCTCCTGGCTTTGGCCTGGCCATTGTAGCCATCTGGAGAGTGATCCAGCAAATGGAGGATTCAAATTCATTCTCTCTCTCTCTCTCTCTCTCTCTCTCTCTCTCCTCTTTCTGTGTAACTCTGCCTTTCAAATAAGTAAAGAAAGAAAGGGTCAGGTCTGGGGGCCAGTGTAGTGGGTTAAGCCTCTGCCTGCAACACCAACGAACCCCTATGAGCATCAGTTGAGTCCTGGTCGCTCACTGCTAATGTGCCTGGGAAAGCAGCGGAAGATGGCCAAGTAGGCGGGCCCCTGCACCTGCTCGGGAGACCCGGATGGAGCTCCCGGCTCCTGGCTTCCACCTGGCCCAGCCCCAGCCGTTGGGACCATTTGCGGAGTGAACTCAGCCTTTGAAATAAATAGTTTTTTATTTTTTTAAGAACATCAGTTCTGGACCTGCCTGTTTTGTAACTCTGGGACTTCGGGCCAAGCCAGTCCCGCTGAGTGCCTCGGTCTCCTTAGCACGCGGCCGCCGCGTGGGTTATTTGCGATCCTACTTGAGGATCTCTTAACCTGGTGCCTGGCAGACCACGCACTACTAACAAGACTCCTCGCCCCTCGGGAGAAGAAAACGCAGGTGTGTAGCAGGTGGGGCGGGAGGGCCGGGGTGGGCCCCTTGCTGGGGCGCCAATCCCAAGGGCCGCCCCCGGCCCACCGCCCCGCGTCGTGAAAGGTGGGTTCCAGCTCGGCGGCCGCCCTCCCCGCCCTCTCCCCCGGGCCGCGGGCAGCGCAGCCTCGCCCGCCCCCGCCCCGCAGCCCGAGGAATGTGAAGAGGTAGGTGGGGGCGGGGAGGGGCAGCGCCGCCCGAGACACACAAAGGGGCCGAGTCGGGGCGAGAGACACAAAGACTCGAGGAGGCCGGGGAGATAGGGGAAGTGGGACAAGGACGCGGGGAGGGGCAGCAGCGCGGAGGCCGGACCCCAGCCTGGCCCCTCCCCGCGCGGCCGGTCCGCGGGCGCGGGCCCCGGTCTGTGCCGCCCCCTGGCGGGCGGCCCGGTGTGGAGGCGAGGACCGGCTCACTCGGCAGAGGCAGGGGCAGAGACGTGGAGAGGGGCGCACGGGGAGGCACCCGAGACCCAGGGGACACGCGAGGGGACACAGCCCGAGGGACGGAAGCGACGCTGAGGCGCGAGGGCCGAAAGACCCAGAGGAACGCAGGGACGGAGACCCACAGGAGAGACACAAAGACCGCGAGGCGAGGAGAGAAAGCTGGAAAGAAACGACGCGGCCGGCTCCCGGCCTGAGGCTGGGGAGAGCCGAGGGGCGCTGGCAGGACCCCC